AATATGCAATAGTTTGCTTCTTTTCTGTCATCAGATGTGTTAGCAGATTTGACAGTAAAACATCAGTGTGTGTGTGTATATATATATATATATATATATATATATATATAAAAAAAATTATTATTATGGACCTGCCTTCATCGCCGTGATCCAGTCCTGGTTTCTGTTTCTGAGCGACTGCCATGATTACGGACAAAACCAGCAAAACTCCAGCCGACTTCATTCCTGTTTGAAACAAAACTTTCTTTAGTGTCTGATCATAAAAGCATCAACCTGGAGATTAAAACTCACTGGAACGACGCCGTGGTCATAAAGAAAACACCTGTTTTATATCTGGGACAGAGGGAGGACCTTCAGTCTCCTCCCCTCCGTCAGGATGAGCTTCATGTGGGAGTTTCTGTTTGAAGTTTCAGATTAACATTCCTGTTCTTCATCTGCTGCACATCTGCAGATCAATTATAATAAAAATTCTAAGAGTCAAATGCAGCAAACTGATCCTCTGCCCCATTTCGACTGAGAATTTAGCATTAGACGTTTGATTTATTAGAAAACAAACAGATAATACTTAATAGATGTTGACTTTTAGAGAACTTGACACACAGGCGGTGATTTACTGCTGTGACAGTTCTGCTTTAAAGCTTTTCTTCTGGTGAACGAATTCCTGGCTGCAGGAATTTGCTCCCATTCAGACAAAACGGCAACACGACTACTGACAGCAGACGACGAACGATGAGGTCTGGAGCCAATATTTCATTCAGAATCAAGCCAGTTGAAGCTGGACGAAAGATGCTCAGTGATTCATTGATGTTTTCTTAAACGGGGCGTTAAATCGGTAAGAAACGCACTGGCAAAAAAAACAAAAAAACAAGTTAAGGAACAGATCTAGGTATAAACTGGTAGCAAACCAGTGATAATACAGAGTATTCCATTCCCTTTAACTTTTTGCATTTTATCATGTTGTAATATCCAACTTCAATGTGTTTCTTTTTTTCACTCAATATGCAGCAACAAACACAAAGTAGAGAATTACTGTCAATGTACACAATTACTGTAAAGAAAATGATACTTTCCAAAAATAAGATGAGAAAGGTTTGGTCCCCTTTATTCTGATACCAGCTGCCTTCGTAACTCAACCAAATAGTGTCTAACTGTGTAATTTAACAACAGTAAGACGGGTAAATGGAGATAAATACAGTTCAGTTCTGGTGGAAAACCAGTGGAGGCTACAAAAGATTCGAGGTAAAGATTTACCTTCCAGCAGGACGACGACCCTAAACATGCGGTCAGAGCTGCAGCAGAATGGTTTGGATCAGAGGTGTCCAAACATCCATGTGTCTCTGCTCCAGCTGAATAACTTCCTCATTATGTCATCAACCTCTGCAGATGCCTGCTAATGTGCAGCCGAGCATCTAAAATATGCGGGACATCGACTCTTGAGGACTAGAGTCAGCCAGCCCTGGTTAAGATCGAAGCATATAATGTATTAGAACGGCCCAGTCAAAGTCCAGAACAAAGCCCGATTGAGGATATGGAGCAAAGTTTGAAAAGAAGCTGAATATTTGTGGGAAAACATTTTTAAGATATCATCCGTAAAACAGATTAGTGGCTATAAAATGGCAAATGTTGAATCCCTGCCATGCTTCTGAAGGATAAAGTATCTAAATTGTTTTAGTGGAGTACAGGGAAGTCAAAGTTAAGTAGTATTTTTCTAGGACAGAACTGGAAACAAATGGTAGAAGCTTGTAAATATTTTACAAATATTTTGTCAGGTAACATTTTTATCATCACCATATGATATGCGGCGTTTATGTGTATATTGCTGGATATTAGTTAATCTATTACCATAACAACAATTAGAATGTGTAGTTTAATAAATGCTGTTTGTCTTCTCAAAGCAAATACAGTAATATTTCTTCTTTAAGGTTCATTTGAGACAAGAACGAAAACAAGAAACAGTGTTGTATAGCTTGATGTACTCTGATGTAGCACCAGTTTCCCCCAGTTGTATTATAAGCCTGGCAGCCCACCAGGCTTTACTTGTGCCCCCACCAGGCTTAGCATTGCTCATTTAAGTTTTTTTTGTTTGCATTTTTTATGACTTATAGTTGGTGTTCAGATATTAATCTTCCAATAACACGTAATAATCAAGTTATATTTTCAAGTTTCCTGTCAACTTGAAACATCTTTTAACTCAAAAACATGATGGACAGTTGGATGAATGACTGCTCCCAACCACCAGGCTTAGCAAGTTTCCTGAGGGAAACTTTGAGTAACAGAGAAACATAAACCAACTATAAATGTACTCAGATTTCAACAACAGAAACCTCTTTAAAACTCTTATTTTCCAAGTTGTATATGTTTGTATTAAAATAAATGAATTATGATAAATTGGGACGCATTTAAACGGATTTGCTTTTACACTTTTGTTCTTCCTCAACAAGCATGAAGAAAAAAAGAAAGGATGAACGACACTCCTGATTGTATTCTTTGTTTCTTTTATTGTTTTGCTTCAAATCCAAGTCAACAGCGTACAACTTTCAGGGTCCTCGGTCAGCTCAGTGGAAAGTGAGGACGGGCTGCAGCTCCAAGAGCTTGCTTGCTCAGCAAACAGCCCCCAGATTAATACAAAAGGAAAAAGGTCAAAGCTGCCCCTTAGTGTGACAACAGAGCAATCACACCAAATTAAATCCACACGAGGGGGCAAAAGGAGCAAAAAAAAAACATCAAACTAATCTAAAATTATAAGTATTCTCTTAATTGACGAGGGCAAGTTTACAGAGAAGCCCACATCTGATAAATTAGTAAACATGAGCCGCTCGTGACTCGCCCTCTGGACTAGAGAGAGGTTCACTGAAAACTCTCCCAGTTTGGATCGTCACTGGAGTGACGCAGCACACATTCACGAATGAAACCAAACTAACCTGAAAATCGTTGAGAGAAAAAAGGGACCGAGTGAGATTCTGGATGCTTCTGCTAGTTTAGCACTGCTGTGATCTGATTGTTTGTCAGTAAATAATCCATCTAATCTTTTTATGTTATTTTACAGAGGCACTTTTTAACTCCACGTATATTGTTTACCCTTTAAATGGCTTTAAAGAACAGATGGACACCAAAATGTTGAAGCTGAGCTGAATGTGAGCCTGAAACGCTCAGAGCACCTGTGGCCAACTTTAAAAAAAAAAAAAAAAAAAAGAAAATCATCTCACTCATATTGGTCCCAATGTTATTAGTCTTGTAGGAAAAAGAAACCAATTTCAATTAACCCAAATGCCCAAACTGAATATGTTAAAAAGAGTTAGCCATGATATTTTTAAAAGAAAATTAGTCTGTCCTCTGAATTTGCTTTTAATCTGATGTTCACTGCAAAAACACAAAATGTTACCAAGTTCAAATATCTCAGTAAATGTAAAATAAGATAAAACTAACTTACAAGTAACTTTTCAGCAGAATATCGGAGTTTGTCTTAAGTAAATAATGCTTTAATATTTATGATATGCAACAGTGGAACAAGACATTTTGACTTGTATGGAAAAAATGTCATTTCTCTTACAACTAGCACTTTTTAATCAACATTAAGGAATTATTGACTGGAAACAAGCTCATATTTCTTGCTGACAAGCTACTTATTAGTTTTATATTATTTCAAGTGGACTAAGGTGTTTGCACTAGAAACTAGATCAAAAATACTTGGTAAGATTTTGTGTTTTTGCAGCGTTTAATTTGTTGCACTTCCTCAATCAGATACTTTAATATGTCTGAGCGGGAAAAGCAAAAGTAGATTGTATAAATCCACCATTTAAACATTTGCTTTACCTGGTAGAGGTTAAAATGTCAGCTGAGGAAAAGTTTAGGTTTTCTTTAGACAAGCGTCCTTCGATAGCTCTGACGTATAACTGATTGAGAGGCCTTTTGGTGCCATTTAATGTTTTAATTTTATGGTTCGGTTTCCCGGAAGTCTGCTGAAGGTCTGTTGCTGGAAGAAGAGTCGGTAGCTTTCAAATGCCGGTGTTTCTCGACCATCACGATCCATCTTGGAAATTTACACCCGAGACAATAGTTTTGGGTCTCCCCTCGTCCGGAGGAAAGTCTCTGAAGTCTCTGTGATGGTTAGAAACCCTCAGGGGTCAATCAGAGGAACAGGGGTCATGTTCTGCACCAGCTGGAGCAGAAAAACAAAGGAGAAGAGGAGGAGGCTCAAATAGGGAGGTGAGCACCAGTTGTTTCTAGAGCACCCCATAGCATATGGAAATGAAATTAGAAAGTGTCCCGGGATGTTTTTTTTTTTTTGTTTTGTTTTTTTATCAGAACAACCGATTAAATAAGCTACATCTTCTGCTGCTCAAGTTCAAAACCAATAAAATGAACCGGATCTGCCTTCTGCAATCATCGGAGGCGGCTGCTTCTTAAAACTGGGGACTAAATTTAACACAAAAGATATAAAACTCCGAGCTGTAAACTGGGTTTTTACTCTGCAGCTCAGAGCCTGATGAGGTCGAAGCTTTGAGAAGTGATTGTACTGTAAAGGGCTTTCCAGAGACCAAGAGCTGTAAAAGTGTCCGATCAGAAGAATCAAAGTTTAAGTTACACGCTACAATCTGGTAATAAAAAAGAAACTCAATTAAATAACAGCATCATCCATCAAAGGTATTTATACACAGCAAGATTTTCCAGAAGTCACTGTGAGAGCAAAAAGAGGGTAAGAGGGTGGGGGCACTGATGTGAAGAAAGATCTGAAAGTTGGGGTCTTTGCTGTCCTCCTGAGTCACAGCAGGTTTTATTTGAGTTATCAGGAGAAATATTTAACAGTTTAAGCCCAAAACAGATAAGAGCTGCTGAAAAGAGGGAGAATAACAAACAAGATTAAATCATGTCTGGTTCAATTTTTCTTTTTTCTTTTTTTTTAGATTTGTGGACGTAAACAAATGCATCCTTCTGCGCCTTCGGCAGCCAGGGGAAGACCGAGGCGTCACTGCGAGTTGGACAAAATAACGAAGGAGGGGCATCTGAATCTTGCAACTGGATCTGGTGAAGTTAGGACTTTGAAGGTGGAAGTTCTGTGGAGGGTCTTAACTGCGGGGCAGGCTGCAGATTTCACAGTGCTCTGTGCCGGGCTGGTTCATGAAGGTGCAGTGGAGGCAGGACCACATGGCTGAGGAGGACGCCGGCGCCGCGGGGCCGCCCATTGCTTCGTAACCCAGGGAGCTGGACGGCTGCCCGCCCACCGTGCCTGAGGAGGGCAGGAACAGGTTACCATGACGATACCATGGCGCACAGTTTGCAGGGCATCAATGGGTAAGCGTCAATTGAATTTTAAGCCAGGAGAATGAAGGTTTATAAAAATATGCTGAGCACAAAGTTAGTTAAAACAGCAGCTATTTAAACTGTAATAACGTTGCAGTATTTACAGGGTTTGCACAATTTTCCCAGCGTAAAATTCAAGCACTTTCAAGGTAAGTTTTCAAACTTTTCCAGCACCACACTTTAGAAATAAAATAATACAAATGAACTAAAAAAAAAAAAAAAGTTTCAATTCAGTATTATATGATCTAATTTATTACTGGTGATAGTATCTACATCCTACAACAGAGACAAGGTAAGATTAAAATATAGTAAAATTTTATGTTTAAAAACGTCTCTCTGCCTGGTCCAAGATCAAATCAAACTTAACCAAAAATCCCCTGATTTCAATAATGTTACTTAATGTATAAAATATAAGATAACCTTTTATTTCATTGAGCCATTAGGAATTAAATGCTTAAACTCAATATAGAAAGAAAGTTACACAAAAAGAAAATCTCTAAAAAATGTCCTTGCTACGTTTTCTAGAATTTATCAAATAGAAATAATTTTGATAATTGTTACTGACTTAAAACAAGACAAGTTTAATCTGATCTAACTTCAGACACCGGGACAAAAATGTGTCTGTCTTTTCATTAGGCGTATGTAAAGATTTGGTTTCAACTGTAAATAATGTTTGCCAAATTTATAGGCTTTTAGTCAACCTTAGATTACACTTTATGACAAAAATGTGCAGTTTGAATACCAAGCACTTTCAAGGACTTTATACAGAAACCAAGCACTTTCCAAACCTTGAAAACATTTAATTGAAACTCGAGCATTTTTAAGAGATCTCAAGACGCATGAATAGTGAATTTAACATAAGAGAAGGAGTAGAAGAGAAAAGAAGCATATTTAGTAAATGTTGATCCAACTTACTGCAAAGCTGCTCTATGGTGGCCCACTGCTCAGACTTCTTCCAGGTCTGCGCCAGCTCCTCATTGGACGTTTTCACTGCGTCCAGAAGAAGGCCAATACTGTCCTGCAATAAAAATAAAAGAAACTCATCCTCAGTGATCCAGAACACCAGAAACAGAAGAGTTTTATGTTCTTCTCTTTGAGTTTCCAACAGGACATGCAAATGTGCTGAAACGTTTTACTGCATATTTTCCAAAAGTTTTTTTCCAAATTACCCTAAAGATGCTAATGGAGTGATTTCCAGATGCGAGGAAAATCCCAGCATTGCAAAATGAAAACAGCTGGAAAACGGGAGGAGCGAATGGGTTTTGGAGCATCGACTCACCCTCAGAGGCATGACTTCGTTGGTGACGAGGAAGAGGAGCAGATGGAAGTCTGACACGATGTCCAGGAATGACGCGGAGGAGCACTGGGACAGGTATGTGGCTAAACTGTGAAAATCCTGCAAGCGAACATTCAAATTCACTAAGACGTTTCCTTCTGGGATTTTTTTAACCTTTTCATAAAATGAAGTCCCAAAACTGGTTGAGAAAGCAGAAAGCACTCACTTGTGTCTCTCCAAGGATGTCGCGGTTTTCAATTGGGAAGCGTTGTGTGGAGGTGAAGGTGTACTGAGGGTCCTTTGGGAAAGTTGTGGTGATCTAAAGAAATTACATTTATTTAAATCACGTCAAACACATGCAGTAATATACAATAACACAAACACACAGTGAGAAACAGACAAGTACCAAACTCACATCTATGATAAGGTACTCGACAGGAAGAGGTCGAGCTAGAAACGTGACATCGTTCCCAAATTTATCTTTGTCCTGTTGGAAAAAAAAAAAGAAAAGAAAAAGATAAACAGAAGCAAATTTACCATCTGAAATAAAACAAATCCTACCAAGTCTTCTGCAGTGGTTTGCTTGGCGCTGATCGATGAGTCTCACCTTGTAGAAGACGTCTGGTACGTACTGCTCAGGGCTGGACTCCTTAGCGTAGCCGAGCTCAGGAGCGTCTTTGCAGGGCAGCAGGCACTCGTCTCTCACCAGAGCCATGCACTGATTGGACACCTGGTAGCCTTCAAAGTGGACCTGATTATCTGGACCACCTGCACACAGAACATGCATATGAAGAAAGGTCAACATTTTCAGAAGTGCTACCAAACATTTGTCATTTTCCTTACTCTAAAACCATAAGATTCAAATTTCCTCAAAGCCAGTTTTATTTAAAAAAAAAATTAATACAAGCAAAAAACACCAGACAAAAGCCAAAATGTAGCAAAAGGGTTGTTTAATCCTCTCTCTAAAAGCTTTTCAGCTGTAACTTAGTTAAAAAAAAAAAAAGAAAAAGTTTTGGATATAGAAAAAGAAGAAAATGTGTACACATCATTTTACTAGACACAAAATCTTGGTAATTATCAGGTTTTGTTCCCAGTGGTTCATTCAAACAGACAACAGATGAGCTCACTGCTGGACTGTTTTCTGCTTGTTTGTGTTAATTCTTAATTCTTTATCCATGATCAAAACACTGTAGTTCAAAGCTATTGACGGTTGATTTCCATTAGGGGAAGTAATTTGTAATTTTAAATTATTGTGCTCTTTTCAGGACATTTATTGCTACTTTAACTTCCTATGAACTATCAATTGTTCACAGGAAGTGAACGATTGATAGTTCACTTCCTGTGAAGTGAACGATTGATAGTTCACTTCCTGTGAAGTGAACGATTGATAGTTCACTTCCTGTGAAGTGAACTATCACTTCACAGGAAGTTCACTTCACTTCACACTAAGATCGGCTTAGTTAGCTAACTAAGATCAGTAGTTAGCCGATCTTAGTTAGCCTAAGATCAGATAACTCGCTTAGCCGATCTTAGGAAAAGATCGGCTTTGTTTATAAAGCAAAAACAGAGTACGGCTAAAAATGTGCCAAATATGTGAAACAATCGGAGCCAACTTTCAGCTTTGCTCAGCACAAAGGAGCAGCTAAAAGAGCCCAAATGGAAAATGTTGCAGAGGGAAATGTGAGTCCAAAAGATAACAAAGTTACTCCACAGAAGGCTAAAAAATGTTTCTAAAAAAACCCCCGAAAATTGACCTGCTCTGCTTGTTGAATCATATCTGAGAAGAGTAAGAAACTGGGATGAGTGATTTACATTTACAGCATTTTCATGGCCATCAACACCAGTACTACATGGTGAAATCATATTGTGTAAAACGATAAATAATAAACCGTCTCTGTGACTGGCGTGGCTTTAACGTTCTATAACCTGTAATTAATTGGCAGCTATCCATATATTCACTTTTTTGTCACTTAAATATCATAAAGTTGAAAATATATTATTTACCACTATTAAAAGAAAAATTTAAGACGATAAATAAAAATAATCTAACCTGTAGCAACAACAGTCACAAACTTGGATCCAAAGTATCCATCTCGAGACAGCCTGCAGGGGTTTGAGTGTTGGTTCTGGAAATATCCGGACGTGATGCACTCCTCAGCGCTCAGGTAAAAGGAGTCCTGTCGGGTGTATGAGAACATTTTTGATCGAACAGGAACACAGCGGCATCAGTCCGACACTCAGACCACCTTTAACTTGGACCCGTTCTCACCTGGTTTCTTGTGTAGCGGACAGTCCCTATCCTTGTGTCCTCAGACAACAGATCGGTGAAGATCCAGCCCACCTACGAAACACAGAGGAAAAACTATAACATCACCTTTGTTTTGGTAAACTAAACTAACTAAAGATATTCAAGTATGAAAATAATCGCATTTCTGTTGCATTTTTGTTCACAAACATAAAAAACTGACTCAAGTTACTGACGCAGACAAAAAAAAAAAAACATCCACAGCTTCAGTCTGTTAAGCTGCATAAAAATCCCTCACCCTCAGTGCATAAATTTAAATCACATTGTGTGCAGGAACTCTGAAATACAAAAGAGATAAATGTTGCAACTGCAGCTTCCCAACACATCAGTCAGGTTTACTGTTTGGAGGAATGAGCGTGTGATTCAGCAGGTTAAACTCTACACTGTTTGAGACATCTTAACCCGTTTAGAGAAAGCATAAATCTGCCTTGAGCTCTGAGGGCAGTGCTTTCAGACGCAGCCCTGCTGCAGGAAAGACAGACCCACCTTGCAGAGTCCCAGTTTGGCAGCGATTTCATCTACAGCTGCAGCTTTGGGATCCTCCAACAGCTCCAAACTGTTCTGGGTCGCACTCTGAAACAGAACAAAAATCTAAATTAAACCTACCAAAAGGCAAATTAATATAACATATGGGATATATTGGGTGAGACTTTCACCTGCGGGGGCTCATAGATGGCCGCCACCTCAGCTCTGATGCCCAGCGGGATGTCTGTGTGCTCGGTGTACCGGCCATATAGGTAGCCCATCCTCTGACTGCCTGTTTTCCTCCAGAAGTCCAGGAATCGGTCGGCGATGGTGTGGTTCTCAAACATGATGTTGTCTACATGTCTGTATTTCTGGAACAGACATTCAGAGAAGAGAGAATTGCTTCAATGTTTGCGTGTGCACTAGGCTTTGAATATCTGCCTAAAGTTATTTTAGAGCCTCTCAAACTTTGGACCTAGTTTTACAATCTGTGACCTGATGTCATCTTTATACATGGCATTACACTATTGTGTGTCTTGGGCCCGGAAGATGCTTTCCAATATTGGCTTTCTATTTGCCAAACACAATCTGATCTCCAGTTACACGAGGCTACAACAACCTTTTAGAAATATCAAATAATGTCCAAACTCTCACAGCTCCTAAGTACAACAAAAGTGTGCCAATTTTTCTAAAATGATACTCACCGAAATGACCCAACAAACTTTCTCATGCTACATCATGTAGATGCTCTGTCTGCACCGATGAACATTCACTCACCTCAGCATGTTTAATGTGTGGACCAGTTTCAACTGATGGGAGCTCCTCCTGTTTTCTGACTAAGCAATTTATTATGGATAATTGACCTTTTGGGGTCACTAACCTCAAATATGAAAAAGACGAACAAGATGACAAGTCTGGGAGAATGTGGAATATGGAGAGAAATGGTTGCACTGCAGCTCACCCATTTCTTACCATCAGTATGTTTCTGTTGAATGAATGATGACTCACTGTTGTGGTTAATGTCTTTAATTCAGATACTACATTAAAAAAATAGCAATAAACGTTAATTTAAGGATTTTATTTGGGCTCCTATACTTTAAAGCCACAGCTTTACATCTACACGGCTGCATTTTAAGCAAGAAGGAAATATAACAAATAAATTATGCTGCCACTATAATATTTTTATAATATTTTTTCTGCTACTTCAGCAAAACATAACAAATGTACTTGGTTTTGTTTGAAATGGGAAAGACTGAATTTAAATTGAAAAAAAGAAAAGAAAAAAACTTTTTGCCACCAACATTAAAGGGGTCATGATTAAGCCTGCTGCAATAAGAAATTGATTAATGACATAATGAATCAAAATTAGTTTGATAATTTTGTATTCTGATTAGTAATATTTTATTGAAGAGCATTTTTGTTTATAATCCATTTATAATCCAGACTTCATAATCCGTTTTATTCATTGTTTTGGTTGTGTGTGGTTTTTATTTTTGTTTTATCTATTGTTTTTTGTTGTTGTGTTTAACTTTGAAATACGTTCCAGTACCAGTTTGAAGGGCTCTGTACAAAATCAAAAGTTTATTAGTCTTTAACATAGCAAACTTGCATTATTATGCCATCATCTATGCACTACTTGAAAATGGTTTCAAAACAACATTATAATTTATTGAAACAATTTTTGGGACAATTTACCATCCAGTACAATTTGCTACTGACAAATTTTACTGGATTACTCATGATGCCTTATGTGTCACTACTGTTACTGTATTTAGTGCGTTGTTTTGCAAACATTTAGATTTAACTAAACTTAAAGGATTATTAAGCATCAGGTAACGAGACCTGATCAAGACATCCAATAATGTTCCATAAAAATGTACAGAGGATCCGTTTGGGACCAGGAGAGGCGGCGCACCTGTCTGTTCAGAGTGATGGCACTGGGCTGGCACTTTGTGCAGATCCCCTCGGGCCAGGGAGGATGACCCTCACATCCCGACTTTATCTTACAGCTGATGTTCTCCAAAGCTGCAAACTTCCCTCTGCGGGAGATCAGGACAGAGTTGGTCTCTCAAGTGGAGATCATGAACAATTCTGCTGGTAATATGAAAAACAACAACAAACGTCTCACTTGTCAGCTCCGCCGGTCAGCTTGCGAAGGTACGCGTGGAATGACATGTGCTTCACCGGTGGGTCGAGGTGGTTCAGGTAGTCTTCGTCAAAAGGCTGGAGAGACAGAAACCGCGTCCTTCAGGGTTAGTCAAGTTAACGTTTGATCCCACCGGGTTTAAGGAACTGGTATAGAACAAAATTACCTCTAACGGTACACAGTGCACACATTTTCCAAGGGCACCATGACGACATCTGGAAGAAGAATCAAGATTTATGAAGTTTCCCCGCTTCTGCTTTTGGCTTAAATGTTTACAGCCGGTCGGCTTTCAGTCTTACAGCTGTGGGTCTCTGTTCCTGTAGATCTTGCCGTCTTGTTTGGCCAGATACTGATCGATCTGATCCTCCTGTACCTGTGGCGCCGAGGAGGACCGAGGGATCAACGAGGACGAAGATGAGGACGAAGAAGAGGACGAGATGGATGGCAGGGATGAAGATGTGTGTGGGGTCGCCGTGTCCATTACCTCCCCCGAAGAAGAAGAGGAGGATGATGCAGAGGGGAACAGAAACAACATGTCCCCATGCCTGTAGTAAAAAAAAGGGATTAAACAACATTGAAAGTGGTAAAAAAAAAAGAAGAAAAAAAAAACAGCAGCATTTTAAAACATTTTCCACAACATTCACAAATGTAATTTCATGATAAACAGTGGGTTGATGTATGTTTTTACAAACATGAAAATGTAATAAAAGTAAAGTTT